GAGTGTTTTTAACTAAGAGTTTGCAGCGATGTCTACCGCCTAAAACTATGATGCTACAGGAAAAAAATTGTTTTTGAAAAATCTCTATCTTATAAACGAGTCAGATTCACATCATGGTTTTCCATCATATTAGTGACGTTCAATACTGAGCTTATATTAGTATTAGAGCGTATGAGTAGAACAATCGTTAGAGGTGCCCTTCTATGCACATGTGGCTCTTTTGTTCGAGCTCACGCCCTAGGCTGGTCAAGCCCTCCATTATTTCTGAGTCGACGAATCTAGAGTTGTATAGGGGTAAAAATACTGACTTGATGCATTGATTGGTCCTCGCAAGTAATCGTATAAGCCAAATGTGCATTCACTCACCTGTCTGATGCTTAGTTGAGCGAAATTCATGGCGCACCCCTAAGGGGCAAACCAATATAGAACGTTTTATTCACTTTTTTAGTGGACATATAGAGTTGAATCTTTCTACTTCAGTAATCTGCTATAACTTATATTTTGCACTTTATACTTTATTTGTAACGTTGCTCAACATGTAGGTGCTGATATCAACTCAATTCCGTTCAAAGGAAAGCCATTCGCATGTTCGACGATTGCTCGCGCCACTGAATTCAACTCCATTATCTGGATTAAGCCCGACCGAGTCGTTTTTATATCAAATACTCACCGATATTTAGCTTTTGAGTTATCGCAACAGAAATAATTTTGTATGGAACTACACTAGACATCGGCATTCCGCTCCTCAGTAAAGCTCTAAAGTTAGTTTGACAGATCTATAAAATATCTGGGCCTCACAAGAGTGATATATTTAGTAGAAACTGTTACTTAGAGCTTCGACAGCCAGTTTTTTCATCGGTATTAAAGAAAACATGCTCATTGTGCGTGAGTATAAATAACTCATGGTCATTAAGCGCTTACTTGAAGGCCCACGTATATTTAGGTATTACTCCATGAGATTCTTGGAACTTTGTGTCAAACCTATGTGTGACCTAGCAAATATAAAATGTTTAAGACGCTTACTAACATGGGCTACTGCACACTCTATAGACATATATATATATATATATATATATATATATATCTGTGCTATATGCTTTCAGCAAAGTTGCTTCAAAGTAGCCCACTTATGTAAAGTTCGTTATTTCTATGAGTAGTTAAAACTAGCTTTGTCTATGTTGACTGTCTGAGACTCAACAGTGTACATGAGGTGGTGAAAAAGGGTTATTTGAGATCGTTTATGATGCCTAGAAACAAAGAGCACGAGCTCCAACTCAAGCACAAAGCAAGCACCTCCTATGACAATGCTCAAATATTTTTCGGTAACCGATTACAGGAGTTATTGTTCTATAATTTTTCTTCAGTGAAGCAGTAATGTAGCGTGGACGTAACGTAGTGGTTTGAGTTGCCTTATAGTACACATGTGATCCTTGGTTCGAACATGATCCACGCGCTACCTCCATACTGTACCTCGAGTAGAGGTAACAGATTTTGTTCGGGAGGACAAAAACACTGACTTGTCACATCGGCGTTGGGTTACCGCTTTTCATATGCCAAACGTGCAGTCAATCACCTTTACGGATAGATTCAACTGAATACCATATACATAAGCGATAGATTAACACTAAACGCTTTATCGTTTTTCATTATGAACATATTATGTCCTGCTACCCCAGCAAAATGATGTGTCACAAGGGGTATTTTACGTTGTTATGGAGATTTCGGCTCAGCGTGTGTGCCATATGATGAAGCCGCTCGCCCAATTCTTTTCGAAGGAAACTTTATATTGACGGTGTTGATTTTTAAAATAAAAAAAAATAAAAAGGTGAAAGCTATCGAAGCATAGCAAATAAGCGTTGTGGAATCAGCCGAATTTCTCGTAAAGCCCAAGTTTCTGCCTTAACGTTACAGCGCCGTAGGGTTTTCATTGTGATTGATATGACATGCGTGTATATTTCTCCTCTTCTCTTATGGCTCCAATACAAACAGATAAATACGAGCGCGCATGCGTTTCCGCAATTCCGATATCGATTTTTTTTCTCGCTTTATTTTTATAGGGCATTTGAGAAATGCCTCTCATTTTCTACTAAGGACACGTAGAAATAATTCATATGGAGCTAATTCAGCTCTGATTTTATTCAAGAGGAAAGCAGGAGAGAATTGAAAACGAAGAAATGTCGTTGCGGTTGTCGTAATATGATATCCACAAAATGTTCGATGACAACAACCTCATTAAACGATGTCATGCAGTGGCCTCTCCGAACATTCAGCCTCTCTGTAGTTGTTTAAGGCTCTACTATATTTAGTGTTATGTCATAAGTTCTTGTCAGTGTCATTCATGCTTCCAATGTTATACAATCTGTCTCCCGAGCGCTATCCTTACGTCATTAATCAAAGTGCGGACTACTTCAATTATCTAGTGAAAAACTGAGTCTGTGTGTGCGCATGTATGTATGAAGTAAAGGAATGTGGGTGCTTGAGAGCTCTGCTCATGTATATTTCAACCACGGCTCGTGTGTTTCTCATTTTGCTTGCGCTATTTTTATGGGCAAATAGTGGCCGAATTTTGCATTAGATAAAAACTGCACTATCCAAAAGCAACTATTCTATAGGAGTTGGTCCTCTGTGTTTCATTTGATAGCTTGAGCATTTCACTGTGGCAGTAACCGAGCACCATGGCTATTCATATCCGTCGGTTCTCTTTTCTTCTCTCTTCTACTATCTCTCTCTTTCTCCGTTTATACAAGTTTCTTCTTTCCTCCCTTTCTTTTTCTCCCTCTCTTCCTTCCTTTTAGGTTGTAGTTCTATAACCTGTGACATATGTGAAACTGTTAATCAGCGAGTGAGCAGAGAGGACAATATTAAATTCTCCACCCAATCGTCCTCGTCGTGTAGCACCTCGATCAGTAATCGCAGCATTTTCTAGAAAAGTTTTTACTTTTTAAAGTGTTTGAAGAGAACGAACCCTCAATTAGCTAGCTGGTGGTCTGTTGCAGAATAGGGTATGACCTATTTAATGGTGGGCGACATTCTATCGCCTCCTATGATGAATCCCAGTAGTTACTCGACGGCAGGCTTTCATCAGCTAATCGACGTGCCGGGATACAATCCGCATATTAGCAAGTATATCCAAATGAGTGAATATGATTGAGTGTAAGTAAATCCGAAACAGCAGAGAGAAATCCCGTTCCGTAATCAATCTTCGACTCTAAGAGCAAGTACATGATCACTTTTGACACGCTTAACACCCTACTGGATAAACGCCACATAGCGGAACGATTGATCTCACCATATAGTGCAGTTCCGTAGTCCATAATAATAGCAATTTCTATTATTGAGTACAGGCTCTATTTTCAGAAAGGATATTTAGATTCGAGCTTTATCTAACAAATTTGCGCTGTTCGGAAAAAGAAATTCTAATATTTAATAGGAAATTTTTGTCACATCATAGATTCACTTTGCGATTAGTTCGCTAATGGCAGATTAGCACATTTTGTGGAGACTAAAAGCACGAGGACTGCGAGAATTTCCATATTGGTCTGTTAGTCTGTTAGTGTATATTTGAGTAAGTGGACGCTATTCCCGTAAACTTTATATGCACATGTCTCCATGGGTGTGTGCCTGTACATGTGTGTAGGTCTGTGTGTGCATTTCTATGTATGTGTTTGTATGTTGGTTAGGATGGGCGGCATTGAGCACTTTCCATTTATATAGGGTGCATTTCGAATATTACACTTCATTCTCATGACATCCTTGAAAAAATACTCCATATCATATCAGCCATCTAGTTTTCCACACTTCCTACATCGTCGCTTCAAAAAGATTTCTCCAACCATCTCGCTCTGTTTGCAAAGTTTTGCTTGCACCTCTTTTTGCTTCGACTAGAATTCAAATCCGTAAAAGTCTTTTTGTCGTAGTTTCACTCAATTTTGATGTTCTTCAGCATCCAATAGATGCAGTAGTATCGGTGAACATATATCTACAATGCTTTCTAACGTTGTCTAAGAATTGTTCTTTAGCTTCTATTAGTGTTGCGAATCTTTTATAGGATTTCCGATTTGATTCCCCAGACTTGTTGTATGGTCTCTTCAATGACATTTTTGAGGCAATGGAATTAGAGTCAACTGTTATTTATTCTGAACAGGAATTTCAATCATTGGTGAGTTTTAGTTCCCGAGACGCATGCCTTATATTTTATCCTATTCTTTTGTGATATTTCAGTGACTTACTCGCAAGTAGGGCTTTAGTTATGAAGTAATGATTGACCAGTATATCCTGTTGGAAAAAACAAAGAGCCTCTTTTCTGAAGGCATAATTTTGTTTAATTTGTGACTGTATGTGTGCATTTTTAGGATCAAAGGCAGCACTGGCCAACATGGGCAATTATTCTCGTTGTGGTTTGTGTATTCCTTACCATATTCGCGTTCCTTTTGGGTAACTGTGTCACCAAACGAGCTCCACCTTTACGGTAAGTGATTCTTCCCAATTTGACTTATGGGTGTAGCGCAGTGGTTAGGAGTGCCCTTCGATGAATACTCAGTTGTTGAATCTATCCCACGACCCGGCTTCACCGAGTCTCTCATTTCCTTGAGGTGGAAAAATTAATACCAGACCTATCTGGGAGGAAAGAAGCACTGGCTTGATACATCGGCAGCAAATGAAAATCACTGTGAAGGCCAGATGTGCACTCAATCATTTTTAACGGTACCCGATGAAGTCGAATGCTTAGCGCATCCCTCTGAGATAGACCAATACTGAACGCTGTATCCTTTTACCCTGTTATGATTGAGAACATGAAATCGAGTTGTGGTCGCTGATTCATCCTTAGGGAAGCTGTTCCTAGTGATGAAATTCGTTCGTCGGGGGGTTGAAGTACTTGAACGAGATGGCTGATTTTGTGCGGTTGTTTGTAATGAAATTTTCATACGAATTTCGTCCCATCAAGTGCGTTTTCCAATAATTGTTTGTTATTTTTTCTTCGAAATCTTCGTTTGCCTTCATTACAGATTCAAAGGTGGTGCAACGAATAATGCAGCAGCAAATGTTCGCGTTGAGAATCGTCGAATGTGGGGTGCTGGATTTTCGGGTGGAATGTGGGCAGCCGCGTGATTTATCTGTAGTTTACGGATTTTGAATAAGTATGAAATCGCTGAAAGAAGGACGAAATAGCAGCTACGTCAGATATTTCCTAATCAATCGTTATTACAAGTATACACGATGTTGTGAGTAGTTGCGACCTCTGACTACCTCACTTTCAGATGGCCGTATTCCGTCTGAAAACATCACAGCCAACATATTTTTGCGCTAATATGGTATTTTAAGTCGCTTATCACATTGAGCTGTCAGTTATACTAGGTGCAACGTCTCAGTTCCTCTGTATGTTTATTTCTTTATAGTCCTGCAAATCTCTGTCTCATTCGATGTCTCCAGAATGCTAAGAAAAAACGGGATTTATGAGTTATACTTGTAGCTCGAATATTATATGTAAATATCCGTATATATAAAGATTTATTCGATATTTTTATTGTTGACATTGATTTTGCATTCTTGGCTGCTTACTTAGTGCTCTACAACTTCTGCAGCGGTATTCCGTTGTAATTGTTGCGTACAACGGCTACCAAATTGCAAAAATAATTGAAGAACTGCTGTAGCCAAGTACTTTGTGCTAGCTAATGTATAACCGCTATCATGTGGTTGTCTGTAAAGTGCTCCCATAAGGTCAATAAGGCAAGACTGAGTAGTAAGGTCAATGAGTATCTAGGTAATAAGTTTTATACCTTGCTTTTGCTGTTTACTGCCTTTGTTAAAATAAGAAGTAAAAACGGAGAAGATAAATTATTTTATTGGAATTTTCTATGGTAGTAGCAGAGCCTTTTTATTCCTTCAGACTTACCTGTTATCAATCCTTTTCTGCCCAGAAGGGTGACGCATAATAAAGCTCTTTGAATTCTCACGTACTAAGTGAATTCAAGCGTTGTGAATTCTAGTGATTCCATAAATGGCCTTATTTTCCAGTACTCCTGAGGAGAGATTTTGTAACAATGTTTATCTCGAGGAACATGTATGTATATATATATATATATATGTTATATATACACGACTACAGATGAATATATATATATATATATTACACTATATATAGTAAGTGCCATATCGTGACAGAAGTGGTTAGTTATCGTCCTTGAGAATCGTGATTTCTTCCGAATTAAGTACTGATTTGCGCCGAGGAAATATCTTAAAAATGTTTATGAAAATATTGTAGAGGAAAACGAGTGGCTTCCTGGACTCATTCTGTGATGATGAATGACGGAGTATGGCAAACCTTCAAGTTGAGGTCGGGGCGGATGTTTACTTCTCTCTCCAACCATTCAAATAGACGAGGCATCAATTTGCCGTTTGGCATTTCCTGTGTTAATAAGCTATGTAAGCTCAAAAAATAGCACATCAATAAATTCTCAGTATTTTTCGAAACTTAAGAAGCTGACGAAACTGAGGTTTCCATTTGGTATTTTTAAAAACCGACTTTCATTTCTATGAATAATCAACATCTCACTTTGTTGTTAACCCAACACAATGTTATTATAAGCATCCTATATTCCGCTAACGTTTTGACGCTTTTCTCTAAAACTGCAACGATTTGAGTGGATAATCCAGGGATATAACAATCACTCTGTTGTTGCGGTCGCCGCAACGACGAGAAGAATGTAGCGCTGAGGAATGAAGTTACGTCACCTAGTACTACGCTGTTGGGATTGTCCTTGACTGTTTATTAATTGATGTTATTTTGAAGAAGCCAATCCATCCTGGAACAATCGTGGAAAAATTATCGCTGTACTCTATAAGAGGGCAGGAGTTGATGACGCCACTATAGCATTCGTGCCGTACTCGATTCTATTCGATTCGACTCTTTGCGACGGCTACCAAGAAACAAATCGCGAGAAGAAACAAATGTTACAGATATTCGTCTCGAATCATTGTGGCTCTGAAAAGGCTAAACTGCCGTGACGTTAGTGCTAGCCTAATTAGAAAATAAATTTCTTTGACCTCAACAAAAGATTTAGGTTCACAAAACTCATAGCATGATGAGTGCCCCTTTGAAAATCTCAATGATTTTAGCGACTTTATTTTCACTTTTATAAGCAGTATTAGGTAAATGTTTAGGATTAATTAGGAGTTAAAAAGAAAAGGATATCTGTGTATCAGTAAGGTTTTCATCTCCATTTCTGTATTCCCCAGTTCTCACCAGTTTTTTTCCACTGAAGCCAAATTCTATATTGAATATGAAAACCTCGAGTTCTGGATTTCGAAGCTCATCAAAAAAAGGATGTGCCAACGCTTCGATAGCAGAACTGCGAGCCGAAGGGTCATAGCGAAATATGGAGTTGAGAAGATTGACTGCAGAGGAAAGACCTTTTCCTTTGAATAGCTGAAAATTGGTGATTTTCATCGCTTGCAAGTAGATCTGGAACGATTGCTATGTTTATGATTTATTATTTATTAATTTCTAGTTACTAAACCGCGTAAGATAATAAATTCCTCTTCTTGCTTTAGTTATCTATGAAGTCTTTTCATCCGATCTTTCCCAAGTGCAATTCGTAAGAATAAATTGTCTATGTGAAATTAAAGAGATTTTATGCAGCTGTTCACCTTTCGCAATGGAATACTTTTAACTGTTGGCAAGTCCATCTCCTTATGGTTCTGATTCATTGCAAGTATATCTTCCTTCGTTGGGATTCCAACAATCTAAAATGTACGACTAAACTACTTATTAGATATGGAACTATTTTTTAAAAAATCTAAACAGAAGCGTTTTCTGAAGTTACGCATTGCAACCTTGATTATCTCGACCAACTGTTGCAGGGCAGAGCCACCTGGGAATATTGGCCTTCCAAGGATTACCTCGGCCATCACTGTCCCAGCAGACCACACATCTAAAAAATCTAACAGAGTCCTTTTTTGGATGAATGAAAATTTCTGAGAAAGAACCGCAATTGAAGTGCGTTTTTGTTTTAGACGTTCTGAATTTCACTTCAGATGCTCTTCATACTTTTTAGAACACTCAAAATTTGAAAGAAATATCTCCAAAAGATGACTATTCGAAAACAACTCACCGATCTTTGTGGTGTAACGAACAGCGCCAAAGATAAGTTCTGGTGCTCTATAGTACCTGTTAAATTGTTTTCACTTTTTGTACATTAGCGACAACAATATTTATAAAATGTTCCAAAACAAGTAATATAAGTGAAATTAGACAACCTTGAACAAATGTATGAAACATTAGTGTCGTTCTTATTCAATACTTTTGCCGATCCAAAATCACATATTCGAAGAGTTCCCCTATCGGGGTTCACTAACAAGTTATGGGGTTTGATGTCACGATGACATATATTCAAACTGCTCATGAAGGATAAACCGCGGAACAGTTGAAACATATACAGCTGAAAGGAAAATCATCTCATGAAAATAGTTGTCTTTTAATCCCATGCCTTGAAACTAAATTTAAAAAGCAAAACGTTCTCCGAAATATGACTATCAACTCGATACTCGCCTTAGTACTGAAAAGATCCAGAACCTCTCCTGTTTGCGCGTATGCCTTTATGAGTTGATGAACGGTCTTTGGGAAGAATTCCAGAATCAAATAAAGATATTCACCCTTCTGAACGCAGCTCGCCATCAAAACATTCTCTTATTTGGATAAATGATCCTAATAGAAAACAACAAACCTTATTATCCGAACCGTAGAAGTAATACATCAGTCTTACTATATTAGGATGTTCAAGTCGTCTCATAATTTGTAGTTCTCTATGCTGTAACAAATTCTCTAATAAAAAATCTGTTTTTTAGTAAGCTCTAATATAACCATCACTATCTCGGATACCTTGAATCTTTTGTCCTGGTGTACCTTTTTAATGGCCACATGTTCATTGGTGTCATATAAGTTTGCCGAGTATACCATTCCAAAACTTCCGGCGCCAATCACCTGCCAAAATGACTGCAGGTTACCGAGATGACAGGTAGGGGCTAGGGGCTCACCTTCACATCGGTATACCGAATCTCGATTTCCTTGTTTGAGTTCGAGTATCCTGGCTTCACTTTAACACATGTGAGATTTTTTGCCGAATTCTTCACTTGTAGTTTATCTGACATTGTTTTTGGTGGTATCCTTTGAGAGAAATACGATCACAGGATGGTCAAGGCTGGGACGATTTGCTAGAAGTGGTGATTCTTATATTCGTCAGAGTTTTAGTTACATTCAATCGCATTTGGAAAACAACCATTTATAGAGCTAGATGCAGCTACATTTAGAGATGTCTTGCACAAGCAACGTGGTGAAAAACCTCGCGTTCTCATTCCCAGGAGAATACATAGGAGAATATCCGGCAAACAAGAAAAAAAAAGAAACGCGAGAGCGCTAGAGAACGCGGTGATAAAACAGAGGGAAAGTGAAATGAGAAGGAAAGAAGTTACAACAAAACGAAACTTTAGTAAGTTCCTTCATTTGCTTTCTCACTGTTGATGACTAACCTATTTTTATACGTTGGTTTCACCTTCAAATTCACGACAAGTCCACGTATGACAGTTTGAGGTTTCTTACAAGGTGCAACATCATATGGTTGACGACACGCATGCACTTTATTCATGGAAAACTATTGGAGCGTAAGAAACTACGAAATGAAAAAATGTGGAGCCAAAGGATAAGCATGGCTTGGGCGGTGCTAATGAGCATGCACAGCGTCGGGCTTGTCAAAACGCCAGGCAGAATGGTCAAGATGATGAGAACACCCGCAATACCAGCGAAGTGTCGAAGGCGAAGAATTGAACATTCACATAAATAATTATCACACGTGAAGAGAGCATTACAAAACGACTGTAGACCCTTCTTTTTTATTACTATTCTCACTGTCAAGGAAACAGATAGACCACTACGAAACCAAGAAGAATGATTAGCCAATTCGAAAGACCCACTTTCGATCAACCTTGGCATTAGCAGTGGACTTGCGTTTTCTTACGAACTCTGCTTTTTTGAAGGGGCACGAGGTTGCTAATACTCATTTTGATGTTCAGTGGCTAACGTTTCGGCCACTTCGCCTTTTTCAGAGGCCAAACGTTTTGTGCTACAGCGGTTGTTTACTACACGGTGAATAACTGTGATCTTAATAAAAACCTAACTTATCAGCCATACCATATATTTTTTTGTTAAAAACCACTCGCTGCCTTCGTCTTCAAAGAGTGGGATAATCTTTATGTACTTCGGATTCAACAGTGCATCAACCTCACTCGGACCAGAAAATTACTCAGATAAGGGGGGAAGTTATTGAGTCATTGTAGTTTTTCCAATCTGAGCGAGGTTTATTCATCATTGTATTTGAATTTGATAAGGGTTAACCAACTCTTTAAAGGCGAGGGAGCGGAGTGCTTTTTGAGAGATGAATGTTTGGTTTCGTTTGTAAATTAAGGTCCCATTAGGATTGCAAATTATTTACTGAGTAATTAAAATGCGGCTACGCCACGGTAGTTCTAGGCGATTAAGAAGGCAAAGTCGCTGAAGCGTTAACCACTGTTCCATGTTAGCAATATCGTTTTAGCTTGAAAAAGCAGAGCTGGCGAAATTAGCCGATTGTCTTGATGACGTCTATTAACGAAATCATATTTATGGCTTGTCATAGCACTGCATGCCTTTGTGCGCTTTGTGCTGAAAGCCCTTCTCTACGAAATGTTTCACATTCCGATGAGTGAGGAACTAAATGCAACTGTTGTAAATAAAAACGTGTGCATAGACCATGGTTTGCTACAGGAGTGATATCTCATTATCAGATAATCATTCGCAGATATTTTGTTTCATCTTTTGAAGCCATTCCTTTAGAGCAGAAAAATGTGATAAATTCTTAAATCATACAGATGAGAAAAAAATGAAAGAAGACAGAAGGATCGAAAGACATTTGAGGAAGAAACCAGTAGTGATGTGTTTTGAACTCCTGCTACTGAGAGTAGTTGGGCGCAATCCTCGGATCCCAGTGGGATTCGTCGGTTGAATATCAATTATAACATGGCTTCCGAATGAAAAATTGGCCTAACTGACGAAAATTTATAATAGGTTGTTATGTAAAAAAAATCTCATCTTACAGTGTGAAAGTTTTAAGCTGGTTTTTTTATAAACTTAACTTATACGCTACTCAACACAATTTTCACATATGAATGTTTTCTTTATCGTCTTAGCTATTTGAACCCCTATCTTCTCGATCTATACTAACTTAATGGAGTTCTTGTCTCAGAGATATGACACGATATCTAGTGATTTTGAAAAATTCGTGGGTAGGTAGTTATGTAAAAAGATCTCATCACCTTGCAGCATCCAAAAGCCAATAGCGACCAATAGAAGACAACCACGAGGTTGCCGAGGGAAATCGTGGGCTCCAAAAATGCGATAAATGGATTTGCACGAAAATAAATAAGCTTTAATCTAAAGTAAAAGTGTGTTTATATCGAAATCTACTTCATCCACAAAAATGCAAGCGATAGAAAAACCGAAATCTTACCTAAATTGAGGCCTACAGCTTAAAGTGCAGTCCAAAATGGAAATGACAGAGTAGAAAGCTCACTTTATCAGCAAAACTAATACCTATCAAATTATGCTTACGTCTAAACACACTATCACAGAATAATACCATTTTGGCAAAATTGTGCATACAAGAGCGGTTACGTGAGAAATCCTTTAGAAATTTGAAGTGACTGGATGCCTCTGGGCAACTCCTCTATTGAAGACGACAATTTTGTTAAAAAATTGTTTTGTGTATAATCACTACTTAACCGGATATTTCCAAAGGTTTTCATTGGAAATTAGCTAATACGAGGTTTTCGAAATACAACCAACGAGATTTAAAGCTAGCACGTTGTAGTTTACGATGGTGTGAAATCGTTGGGAACATCCATCCATTACCTCCTTGCCAGTTGTTAAGCAGTTTGCCGTGGGTACGCTTCAACGAATATCTTCATTTTCGACAAGACAACCATAGATTGTGCCCTTCAAAGCCTCTGTTTGTAAAACTTTCGAATAAATCATTGCTATAGACTTCATTTGAAAGTAGCAGAACTTAAGATACAGGAAAGAAACTTCAGTTCATTTTGGTTACATAATTAATGCCAAACGATCTAACAGTCCTCATTTGTGCAAAAGAAAATAATGCGCGACCTTTATAAACATTTTAAGACTTGTCGGTTTTCGAAGATCTAGAGAGATATTCATTAGGTTGTATAAAAATCAGCTTCCATTTCCCAGTCTCATGTTTTAACCTCCAGAAAATCATTTCTAAGAAAAATACTTCTAGCCAACAAAAAATGAGATTGCTCTAATACATAGACACGCTGATGGAAAGACAGAGAATATTTTATTGAAATTAGAATCTACTCTAAAATACACATATAGGTCGCCCCGTAAGGGAGACTTTTTTGCAATGATCTATGAAAGAGATGAAATAGGTCACCTGCCTCAACAGAGTCTTATTGCGGTAAAACGCTATTCCTAGTATTTGGAAAAATTTGCCTTTTGTTGATAATGTCGGAGAGCCGATGTATTGGATTTTATCTTCCAGAAGTAGCTAACTAATTCACATCAAACACGACACATCGTTGTCATAAACAAATGACAATACTGTGGGAGGATTTTCACTTCAGGAGGTTCGCATCCAATGGATACAACTCAATTTTAAAATCTGATTCCATTTTTAGAAGCAGAAGAGGAAAAACAGGGCTCCTGAAACTGGGACAAACAGCCAACATAAAGTGGAAGAGCCAAAGAATCGCTGAATTCAAGAAAACATTTCACTAGATTATTCTTCTCTGTAACTTCTTGACGTCGAGCCGTAAAATCAGTGTTACATTGGCTAAGGATAGTGCATTAATCAAAACCTAGATATCATAAGAATCCAACCGAAACAAAAGCTCAGCTTAGATTTTACTAAGGCAGGTAGGAGTAGCAAGCTTTTATGCTCTCAGTTCAATCAATATGCGAAAGCACTGTAAAAATTATTATACTCGAAGTAATTACAATGCCTTTGCTTCTATGTGGCCAGTTCGACAGCGAAACTGAATCTGGAGCAGTTTTTCGCTGGACTTCATGATCAGTTAGCTCAACAGCCGATGTGGACTTTAAAAGCTCAACTACCAGCGCCGATGGTAGATCATTCATTTGAATTCTTAATGTAAAGGCATAAAACTAAAAAGTAGACACTTCATAGACCAGGAAAAAAAATAGCGATACACTTAGTAGAAATTTGAAAAGTTAGTGGAGCATTAGAAGGACAAGAAAACGTTGTCCTTTCACTGTCGGTGACTCAAACACATTTTTTAAGCCACAACTTACTTCGTCTGAGAGCTATTCCATTGTAGAAAATTGACGTTTACATAAAATGTTTTGATAATTAAGAGGAATAAATACTTTAAAATCAGTGATCTTTCATAATTTATAAAATTGAAGCGGCAGCAACAACCGCTGAAAGCGGCTCTGCTTCGATCCAAAATGACACGCCTCAAACCGTTATCGGTCAAAGTAATGTTTTAATAAAACGACAGATGTTTCTTAAATTTCTTTGGTGATTTTTCCATATACGAATATTTATGCACTTTTGCCTGCCGCTACTTCGAGGACGAAAAGTTGTCGTGGCTACCAGTTTGGAAATTTTAGCCTCTATTTTTTGCTTTTTATGTCACTTTTAAACTTTGTGTCGATCTCTTACAAGGTCCATGATGACCGTCACGGCAGTTGTAATTGGTCTCTAGCCGATTTCTCTGGATTACATCACCTTTTTTCTCAGGAATTCTGTTTTTTCATTATGGTAGTGATTATACACAAGCAATTTTGCAGGATGGATCGATATCCAACAAGTGGTTCAATTAAATAGCTTTCTACTCTGCACGTTACACTTTTAGTAGAAACGTTTAATGTTTAAGGAATCACATCAACGAGACTGACGACACTTTCATCAGTTCTGCTTCATGACTTCGAAGTGAACGACAATAGCGAAGAAAATGAAGTGGCGGTTCTTTAATCCGTCGGCCTCTTTGAAAAATCCCTTTTCCATTTTCTCGAAAAAGTGTAATGAACGGAGCAGAACTAAAATTATGCTTAATGCGGTTTCTAAACAGTTTTTATATGCAGTTCTTGTCAGCGGTAATTGTCAAGTCTACAACCAGCATTTTATTAAGAGTAATGTCCCGATGGGGAATGCTCGAAAAGAAGACCAAAAGACGAAAAAGAAGGGTGTTGTTGACATTACATGGCACTAAAGAGTGTTTAGTCCGTAAAATGTGAGCATAAATACTTCTCAAATCAGAAGGCAATAGAGAAAGAATAACCAGAGTTTGTTCAATGTTAAGTTCCTGCTTATTAACTAACGGAACGCTTGCTTCACTTCTGCGAAAAGCGAAACATTTGTTGATAAAAGGAAAAGTTTAAATTTTCCGCCCGCTGAAGCATTCATTCTCTTACTTCACTACGCACTTTTTTCCTTCCCATAAAAAATTGTTCAGTACATGCTATCAACCATGGTAATTTTTGTCGAGAAGCCATTCTCAGGAAATTTACGTTGTTGCTTCCTAATGGATCTTTCCGGAAGCAGTTAGGATTAGACTACTCTTTCCTTCG